CAAATAAGCTCATTGATGAAGAGATTTCCATCCACTCTGCTGTATTTCTGTGGGTGCTCAAACCCAGTAGGGGCAAAGAGAACCTCTGGGTACCGATGTGGCACCCAGGACAAGCCAGGCTGACCAGTTGCTCTGACTGGCCTGACGTCCGGCTGCCCTTCACGAGCCACTCATTTGGAGCAGGGCAGCCCCTTCTCCCTGGACTTAAATTCCCTTGCACACGACACAGAAATAGCCACGCCTACCCAGTAGGGTCCTCGTGATGGTTAAATGCAAAATTCCTCTGTCCATTTTCTATTGGGTTTGGGCACCCAGGAGACAAAAAGGGCCAGAATATGGTTCTCTTTCCTCAGACGCTCGCAGTCTAAGGAGGAGACAGACACCTAAACAATTTAAGCTACCAAAGAGGTGGAGAATCCTACCTGGCTGGGGTGAGGTACAGAGTCCTCTAAGAGTAAAGAAGCCAGGGTTTTAAGCAGGACCATTAAAATTAGAGTCTCAGGCCAGGCATGGTGGCTCACACCTGTAATCCTAGCAATCTGGGAAGCCGAGGAGGGTGGATTGCTTGAGCTCATGAGTTTGAGACCAGCCTGAAGCAAAAGCGTGACCCCTTCTCTACTAAAAACAGAAAAACTGAGGCAAAAGGATCACTTGATCCCAAGTTGAAAGTTGCTGTGAGCTATAATGCCACAGCACTCTATCCAGGGTGACAGTTTGACACTCTACCTCAAAAAAGAAAAAAATCAGACCTTCTAATGCAAATGGAGTTGGGCTGAGTGAGTGGCCTTCTTTAATCGCATAGCAAGTGGGACAGATATTATTTTCTGAGGCTGTTTTCTCATCTACAAAACAGAGACAGCAATGATAATTCTCTCATGGGTTCTTGGTAATAACGGTCATGGAGCATTCAGGGTAGTGTCCAGACTATCCTAACAAGAACGGAAGACATCACAGTTAGTGGTGTAATTACTGGGCACACCCAAAGCCAAGAACATTTCTAGAGCATCAGCTATGTTGAGCCAGACTCTGTGGAAGGTACCGCACATAAATTATTTTCTTTGATCCACAGAACAACCAAAGAAAGAGATAGCCTTACCATGAGAAATAGGACATATTCATTTGTTCTGTGTTGCTCTAGGTGACTTAAGAAGTGATGTCAAGAATTATGGTCCCAAGTTTCCTGTAGCTATCACAGCACCTACCTTCTGAGGTTCCATTCAATGCTGAGTTCCCCACGAGTCCAATCCACCACTCCCTGTCCTGGGAAATGTGTTTCTGCAGAAACTGCTGGGTGCCTTCATCACGGATAAAGACCAGATGGCCCCCATGCCTCTCACACCAGCTCTGGGCACCATGGAAGGTGCGTCCGAGTGGCACAAATTCATAGCAAGCTTCTCTGAAGGCCACCTGGCTCTTAGAGCACACGCTATCTCCCTCTGGCCTAGCAGTGGTGGCCCTAAGCCTCAGAGCGAGGCCCAGGAGTACCAAGCCCAGTACGCTCATGCTGGAGTTGGGGCGAGGACCTGTGGCTGGAGCTCCCAGGGCCCTCATATACCGGTGCCTTCCCAGCCACCTGCCATCCATCTTCCCTTCTCTCTTTGCAGCATGTAATAGCAACTACCTTTTGTTTAAAGAAACAAAAGACCTGGTTGACAGTGTCGGCCACTTTATGTCACCCGGCTCTTTGTTCAAAGCCTGTCACCAAATGATCTTCTAGAGACAGATAAAGTCCCTGTGTCACCTGTCTGCTTGTCTGGACAACTGTGAACATCTGATAGAAAGGCCTTGCTATTGGTTTTTATGTCATCACTCTGAGAGCCAAATGTTTCTGAGAAGCCCTCAGCATGTGGGAAGTATGTGATAAAGAAAAAGTGGCAGGTAAGACAGAGTTATGGGATGGTAAAGAGGCCACGTCCAACCGTATTGTCCAGCATGGCAGCTGTGCTCGCCCGATAATCACTCTCTCTGGAGCATGGTTCAGATGCTAAGGGACCTTTGGTCTCCTCTCTGATTACATTTTCCTGCTAGAAAATCCCCTAAAACAATTTATTTGATGTCACCATGAAAATAGCACTTATTCAAAGCTCAGACCTGTCTATCCTTACCCATTACCTAAACCTCCAGTGGGTTTCCATGACCTATAACCAATCTCAAATTTCTTAGCTCTGTATACAAGGCCCTGTATGCTCTGACCCCTGAAAATATTTCCAACCATCCTTCCACACACACATGGGAGGAAACAGGCTTTTAATCCCTTTCCGTTGTGAGTATAATTGGCACAATTTCTACTGTGGGTAGTATGACCAGCCCTTTCAACATTTAGAAAGCACGAACTCCATAATGTAGCAACCCCACCTCTAGGAATTTTACTGACAGATGCATAAATTTTTATACATGTATAAAATGTCATATGTATGAGGTTGTTTATTACAGAATTTTGTAAGAAAGGAAAATTGGAAACAACCTAAATGTCCATTGATAGGAAATTGTTTAACAAAATGTGGCACACTCCACACACCCATTTTTAAAAATGAGTAAATTCTTCCCATACAAAAGGTAGGATCTCTAAGATTTTTGTTAATATTTAAAAACCAAAGGCCTCTTAGCCTCTTTGCCTACTTTCCCTGACAATGGAAACCCATTTGCTCTCCACAGCCAACGTATCTTGCT